GCGGCAGCAGAACGTTGCAGCAGTTTTGCAGGGGCTGGAATGCAGCAGCAAATAAAAGAGAGCCAGGGGGCTCAGCAGCAGCAGCAGCAGCAGCAGCAGCAGCAGCAGCAGCAGCAGCAGCAGCAGCAAGAGATCGGCATACAAGGCCTGGAAGGACAGCAGCAACAGCAGCAGCAGCAGCAGCAGCAACAGCAGCACAATCTAAAGCAGCTGTTGCTGCTGCAGCATCGGTGGTATCCGCCAGCCTTGCTGCTGCTGGTTCGCCTTGGAGTGGTTCCCCTTCTTTTGCTGCAGCAGCAGCAGCAGCAGCAGCAGCAGCAGCAGCAGCAGCAACAGCAGCAGCAGCAGAAGAACACACACTGATGAATCTAGCAGCAATGGAAGCAGCACTGCAGCAGCTGAGGAAGCAACGCGTGCTGCAGCTGCTGCAGCTCTTTAATGCTCGTGGGCTGCTGTCTATCTCTTCACAGCAACCAGCAGCAGCAGCAGCAGCAGCAGCAGCAGCAACAGATGCAGCAGCAGCAGCAGCAGCAGCAACAGCAGCAGATGAAGAAGAAGCTACGTCCTGGTTCGCCGTAAGGGAAGCATTTATAAGTAAGAATATCTTAATCAGCAGACAACCGCCACATTAAATTTTTTGCTGCTGCTGCTGCTGCTGCTGCTGCTGCTGCTGCTGATGCTGCTGCTGCTGCTGCTGCTGATGCTGATGCTGTTGTTGATGCTGCTGCTGCTGCTGTTGTTGATGCTGCTGCTGCTGCTGTTGTTGATGCTGTTGCTGCTGCTGTTGGTGTTGTTTGTGCTGCTGTTGCTGCTGTTTCTGCTGCTGCTTCTGCTGCTGCTGCCTCAACAGCTAAACCCTAAACCCTAAACCCTAAACCCTAAACCCTAAACAAACCCTACTGAATATATCAACAAACTGGGGGCCCCCTTCTTGCTGCTGTTTCTCTGCAGTTACAGATGGAGGGAGGGGGCCCCCCGGGGCCCCTGGGGGCCCCCGGAGGCCCCTGGGGTGGCAGCTGTGGCCTCTGACTTGCTTCGCGCTGCTGCTGCAGCAGCTTGCTGCTGTCTTGGATGTTCCGCTGCCGCAGCAGCTGCTGCTGCCAGGGCTGCAGCAGCAGCAGCTGCTGCAGCTGCTGCGCAACCGTTTAGCTGTTATGAAGAGGAAGCAGCAGAAACGCGCGCAGGTGCTGCAGCAACTGCAGCAGATGCAGCTGCAGCAGCAGCTGCAGCAGCAGCAGCAGCAGCAGCAGCAGCAGCAGCAGCAGCAGCGACTACAGCAAGAACAAAAACAGCAAAAGCAGCAACAGCAGCAGCAGCAGCAGCAGCAGCAGCAGCAATCACTGCCAGCAGCCAGTACACGACCCCGAAACAACACCGACGCCATCCACATTGTAGCTGCTGCTGCACCTGCTGCTGCAGCGCCTTCGTCTACACCCGTCATACCCCCGCTGCAGAGGCAGCAGGGCGACAGCAG